AGATGGTACAGTTGGTTCACCAAATCTGGAAATTCTGTCTGTAATGTTTCTAGCAGTCCCCTGGGATTAAGGCATGGCAGGAATTACATGAAATATTTTGTCATCAGACTTGTAATATGGCATTGCTAGAAACATACCGATCAGTTTTTACTTATTCTTGTGGCTCTATCCCTTTGAATCACCTGGCAGAGATAACAGCACCATTATACTATATACTTTACTTAAAAAAAAATAAAAAATAATAATTTCCTAGAAAACAGAAGGAGGAAGAAAAAGCAGTTATAATAAACAAGAGACAAACTAATACAAAAATAATGATGGTACTACTAATAAGATGAAATCATAGCATAAAATATGCAAGCATCATACAGGCCCCATTATACACAGATTCTTACAATGTGTGTTTAGGAACACATTACTCATATAACAGCAATCTAAACTGGGAAAAAGTTAGTCCTTTTTTCTCTGAAGAAGCTCTACTACTACAGTAGTTGTTTGCAAACAGTAAATCCTGATAATAAGCACACCATTGGAACAGTAAGGGTTCTACTTCTTCCAATCCTGGGAAACATTTATATTGTGAGGGGATGCTTAGAAGTGCCATAGGCACTACAGGCTCTCTAAGCAAACTCAGCCCTCCCAGGCACCGAGTGAATGCAAACCTCTGCCACTTTCCTGGTGAGAGAAACGGTGCCTCCACAGCGGGAAGCCACTACACAACAGCACGCAAGTTGTCTCTTGGAGGTGCTAATACTTTCCTGACTTGAACTTAATTTTCAAGACTGACGAAGTTCACTGCTTCTAACCCACACATTTTTTTTATATCTATACACATTTGTACTAAAAAATGAAACAAAACAAAATGCAAACAACAACAACAAAAACATACAGTAATTAGTTCTGTGTTCTTGATTACACACCAGATTACCACCACCAATTAACCAGAATGAACACTTGTGTAACCTCTCCAGCCATCCCAGGATAAGATGACTCGTTAGGACTTTCCAGTAAAGCTACATAAGCAGCAAGAGGAAGAAAAATCTCAGGCAAGAGAAACTCCATGCTACCTACATTATTCCTCCCAACCAATACTAGAAACAATGCAACAGCATCTGATTTATAAAACAGGAAACTAGAGAAAAATTAGATGAAATTTTGTTTACTTTAAGGCTATCAATATTACTTTCTGGCAAAATACAACTTCCTAAAGGCATATTCAAACACAGGATGATTTTCCTCATTAAATGAACAATTAATTCATTATTTTTCCTTCAATTTCCTTCAAATAAGGAATCGTAAGTCACACACTGTAATGGGCCACTTGGCTGCAGCAGTGACAAAGAACATATTTTAACACTGACATGCAGGTAACAGATGAAGTTGTTTTGCAATCTGTGTTTTGATCAAGTTCAGGGAAGGTTAATATAAACTATTTGTAACTTGTCATACCAAAGGCTGAGAGTCTAAGGAAAGTCGCAGCGTGTATCCACCCTCATCCTAGCTGCAAAGCTCAGTGTGATTATGGTGCACGGCACTGCTGCTCATTTTCTTTTATACCACATAAATAATATATGACACCATCAGGCGTTGTCCGTAGTTGGATAACAGAATCCTATCACACAGGAAAAATTACAATGCTCATGGTTAAAAGTTGGACTGTGAAAAATGACAAATGCTAACAGAGGAGCACAAGACCAAAAGGACTGGAAATCTCTTCAATATGAGTAATACTCTAAAGATCATAGAGACTGAATTCCTCATGGTTACATAAATTCCCTGCTTGGTCTTATTACTGCCTTACTGATTGCTCCTGCTTTTCTCTAAGTCAATTTCGAGTTATTAAAGTCTGCAAGCTGCATAACTACTGTTATGGGGCCTACAATACATCTGCACATGGTTTATTTCCTATTTGGGGTCACAAAGACTGTAAAAAAAAAATAACCATACTCTAATACCTTCCTCTAAATAAAGTAAAAATGCTTTTATTACTAATAGGAAAAAGACACATCCCGTTCCTAATGCAGAGCAGGAGCAAAAGACAGGCTGAACGGGAAGGGCTCCTGCAGAGCCACGCAGAGGGATGTACATCCCCACGCAGGAGCACCCTGTCCCTGAACACAGGATCTGAATTGGCAGAAGGTCTGGCAGAAATCTCCAGTTTTAAAACCTCTTTGATTCCCTGTGCAGACATCCTAGCCATAGACTAGAAAATTGTAAATGACTCCCATGAAACAATGAGCATGCTTATCAGGAGTTATCTATCATGCCCTACAGCAGCAGCCTGGACTACAGTCAGGATGGCAGAGGAATATAAGACCAGATTGCAATCAGAAAATAGACAAGTGAGGACCTCTACCACACCACGCAGAGCCTCACGCCACCACACATCTGAGCTCTAGGGCCAGATTCAGTGCTCTACCGGAATAGATGAGCACCCTGTGCCAGCCTGCCACCACGTGCCCATGCTGGCCCTGTACTAGAGGCTGTACCCAGTACCTCTGTCCCCAAAGGAACCCCCGTCCCATGCCCTCTCCTCTGCACTGATCGGGACCTTTTGCCCCCACCACAGACGCACCAGCTCTCTCCCTGCAGTTCAAGGGCAGGTATGGGTCTTTTCCATCAGGAACAAACCCAAACTGCACTGTGCTCTGTGTTCCTTCTGCATTTATTTTCTCACCGAAGGTCAGCTACATGCCTTGCTCCTGCCTCTGCCCCTTGAGGCTCCGTCTCCTGAATCTGCCACTCAAGGTATCCTCTTGTGGACCCTTCTCATACCACACAGGTAGCAAATGGCTCTGATTTCTATTTCCTTTTTTTTTTTTTTTTCCCTCCCCAAATGTATTTTTATTATTTTTAGGATCTGGAAAGTTCCTCAAATCTCAAAACAAACCATTATTTCTTTTCTAGATCTGTCTTGTAATCAAGGTTCTAAATTTTTACCATCTCTCTGACATGTACCCACTAATGGCATCTGTCTGACACAATGAGAGATGAAAAATTACTTTTTCCAAAAGCCCTTCCCCACTCATGAGTGCTACTGACAATGCTACTCTCCTACCTGCCACTCAAGGTCAGAATCTACCCATTATCTTAATGCAGCTATTCAATTATGTCCACTGATCAGCTGCAAAAATCAAGCTGTTGCTTGGTATGATAATACGAATTAAAAATCCCCTCCGGCCCTTTTTTTTTCTTTCCTATATAATCTATAGGCTGTTTGCCTTTGCTTTCAGGCCCTGTGCTGTCCCCAACAACTGCAGAAATTGTTACTCTTGGCTCAAGCACAGTATTCCAGCCTCTCACACACCGCCTTTCCAAGTAATTATCATGCCTCCTTTTAACTGCTCACGTGTGCGAAGTTTGCAGGGAAACAAAAACAAAACAGAAAATAAAATAAAAAAAAAAAAAAAAAAAAAAGATCCTACTAATAATCTCATTCTTCTTAAATTCCCTATTCTCACAATGCCTCCTGGACAGTGTCCTGTTACATGGCTGCTGTTACACTAACACCACCAAGCAAGAACTGCACTGCTGCGTTGTCCGCTGAGTCTAATGAACACAACATAAACGCACAGTCATACAGTCATGTCAGCCCCAGCGTACAGACAGCAGCTTTTCCCTGAACACACTCCTATTTGAGAACAACTATCTTCAAATCAAAACAAAACAAAGCTTGATTCTTGCTAAAAAGCATCGAGCTGGGAAAAAGTTTCTTCTAGGAAAAAAAAATACAGATTTGAGCAACTTCCTCCTTGAACAGTATAGACAAATAAGGCTCATGGAACGGTGTGAAAAGCTATTTTTGCCTTTGATTCACTTTGAAAACACCGGTTCAGAGGGCAGCCCGGCAGGAAGCAGAAGCACTGCATCTCAATCTCAAGCATTTTACAGAGACAGAGAGGTACTGTAGAAGCCTTCTTATGTTGCCATCAATGCTAATACTCTGAGACATTTACTGTTCCTAGAATAATTCAGAGCTCAGTAGAGACCAACAAACAGAATTACTCAAAATCATCTGGCAATCCATGGCATCTGCAGATACGCAGTAAGCTGAACCAGAGACTGATTCATAAATGCTAAATATTTTTTGCAGACTTACATTTACACTGCAGTTGCCAGGTAGGAAGTTTGTATTTGTAGGACATGCTTTTTCTGTTGCTACAATTTTTGCTTCTTAGCTGAAGTGCCAGTAATTAAATTCTCTTGTCTCCCACCGCTGACTGTTCTTCACTGACAGTCAACAAAAATGAAACAACCAGACAAGAGGATTTGTCTGACTGGCTCCAGAACTGCACCATTGTAAATGCAAGGAAACAAGATTTAGAGCTTCTAAAGCATCCTCCCCTTTTGGACACAAGCACATCAACCAACTGAAGATGTTAAGTGCTAACGCCTCTGCTACGAGCGCTTTTCATTTGTGGATCCTCCCAAACAGAATACCATTATCCCCATATTGCTGGCGAGACAGCAGAAACACAGGTGATGCTGCGACTCTCAGCATAAAAACGATTTATTGCGAAAGACCACTGAATAAGCCTGTTTCTTTGCAGCTCTATATTTTCAGGTAGCTGAAACTGAAATGTAAGGCATCGTGTGCCACATCAGCACTCAATACACCTGAATGGTTCATAAAATTACAATTTATGAGAGCTTTAACTGAAACGTGATGGTGTCATTTTTGCAAACAATTCCATTAGGTACTTATTTCAATCTTTCAGCAATTCTAAAGGACTAAGTGTTTATGTATTTGTCAGGTATTCTTGTACTTCATAAATCTATGAACCAGGATTTAACTACTTAATTGCATATAGCAAAATAATTATAGCTGTTATAAAGTGTGCATTTAGCAGAACAAGTTGCTGTCAGAGAAAGCCAGTAGCTTTCTGCAAGTAGGAAAGCAGACATACTCTGGTGGTTCATCAGCACGCCTGCAAGGGTCGCAGAGGTATTTTGTACCAAATAGGAGAGGATGCTATCAACTGACCCGCTACTCCTCTTACCTTTACTCTCACGGTGACAGTAGCAATACCAGGAGGCATAGTGCCCTTGCTATCGAAGGCTTCCACAAGAAAGGTGAAAGTTGCTTCTGTGTCGGAGAATGACTCATAATCCAAGGACTTCAGAAGTGACAACTCGCCTGTGTACTTGTTCAGTGCAAAATACTGTAGCGCTTCCTGCGTCCGTATTCGATAGGTAACATTAGAACCAAGATCAACATCCTTCGCCTAGACCATGCCACACAGAAAAAAAAAATACTTAAGGCAAACAAAATCTATTTTACTAAATAAATCCCTACTAGGTTAAAAACATAAAAAGGCAAGCAACTGCAAATACATACAATCTCATTATATTATTCTAATACTATTGAATGAACTTAGAACTACTGCACAAACCCAAAGCAGAAAGAACACTTGAGGTTATTAAATCCAGAGGTACCTGCCACATGAAAGGGACACGATATTCTGTGCAAGAGTCACTGGAAGTTTGTTCTGTTCTTGGTCTTTTCCCTGTGCACCTGCTACTCGCCACTGCCAGGGAGAAGATGCTGGGCTAAGCAGACCGCTGATTTTACCTCATATTGTAGCATGGATGTTTTTATTTCATACCAGTATTTAGACAAAGAATATTAACTTTCATTAGGAAGAATATTATGCAATTGCTTTAGCTGTGAATTCCACTTACAATTTACCTGCAGGCAGCTCCAGATAAAAAATATTCTTGATGAAATTATCCCACGACAGATTCTTCTCATTAAAATCTGCTGACTAAAACATCAGGAGGCTACATAGACTACTTATGGGAAGTGAGTCTCGGCTGTCTTTAGAGATCTAGCTCAGGATGAGCGAGCTAGATTAACAACAATTAACTGTCACTTGTCTAAATGGTTTACCTTTGTTTTTATAGTCAACAGAGAGAAGACAACTCAAGGTGTCCACTTTACTGCACTTTACTGCAGCTATCTCAGATGACAAACTTAGTGTTAGGTCAGTTTCTTCCAGAAACAGCTACTTAACTCCATTGACTATAATGAAGTTGGACTTCTAGGTTTGACTTCAGTTTGAATCAGTTGAGATAGTGCGCTATCAACACAAACATGTAGGAACAATATAATGAGCTTTCAAGAACAAACCAAGTGCACTTCACATGTAAAACAATTCTGACACTTATGACAAACAATATGACAATAGTAGTGTTGCTCAATTTATTTATTTATTAACTAACTGCTCTTATTTCTAAGTGAACCCCCCAAAATATTTCATGTACCTCTTTAATGGCCATGAATTTTTCAGTCTGGTATATATCAGACCCAGTCTGCAGTCTTTTACTTCAGTCCCACCAAGAAGTTAACTAAGAACATGCTTAGTACTCCACAACAGTTACAAAACATTGTCTTCACTCTGTAATGCTTTCTTACCTCTATCTGCAGGAAGACAGTGCCAGGTGGTAGATTTTCAGGCACACAGACAGTGTAGGAAGCATTAGTAAAAACAGGGCTGTTGTCATCAATATCCAGCACCTTGATTGCTAAAGTTAGTGTTGAACGGCGGGGGTCCACAGCTCCATCTGTTGCTTCAACGATAAGTTCATAATAGTCTCTTACTTCTCTGTTCAATTTAACTGCTGTGTAAATGCTACCATTTGATGTGATTCGGAAAAGATTGTTGAAATTTGCCAAACTATAATGAACTTGACCATTAACACCTGCATCTGGGTCGGTGGCCTAAGAAACAGAAAAAAGTACCACATGTTAATGCACATTTTAAATACAAGGGACACACCTACGTGGGAGTTGCAAGGTAAGCTAAGCTAATATTCTACAAAGTAGTAACGTCTGTGTGGCTAGTTAGCATTTCTTGTTCACAGCAACTTGCCTCTCACATATTTTGTTGAAGATTAAAAAAAATATTCTACAAAATCAAACCTATTAATCTGCAGTGATTGAAGGCAGATTTTCTGGATCTCAGATTAACTTCAGGAGAAAATACACATCTGGATGCTCAGTCTTGGACATCATCTGCAGAAAACAAACTAGATGCTTCCAAAGTCAGGCAGTTATAATGCTCAAGTATCTTCAGAGTTCGGTGGTTTCACAGAACCATAGAATTTCTAGGTTGGAAGAGACCTCAAGATCATCGAGTCCAACCTCTGACCTAACGCTAACAGTCCCCACTAAACCATATGGAGATCTTTTATTTTACACTGTGATTTAGGTGTTTTGTAGCTACCAATCATTATGGGATCCATGCTTATATGGATGCAGTCAGCAGACAGACAGAATGGACACATTAGTTAAAAATCTTAATTTCACTTCAGGTCGTCACATTTAGTGATTTTTTTATCATTGCTCTCTGAAGAACTACTTAACTTTCTACAGTTTGTACATCATGTTCTTCAAAATCAAACGATACCAAATTTCATCCTTATTCTTCTACACACAGAAAATGCCAATAATTGCAATAGATAAATGTTTAGATTTTGTTCAATTGGAATCTTAAGTCTTGTGTAGCGATCTAAGCCTCAGATTTCAGTATCAGCTAAATAGTTCTTGTTATTGTGTTACTGCCCTAATGGGGATGGAAAAGATTCAGCCTCATTATTCCTAAAGGCACTAGAGCATAATTTGAATGCTGACCTGTTGTTTTTCCTCCTTTTAATTAAATTAAAGCATGATGAATAGGGCCATGTAAATTAAACAAAGGCCATTCAGTTAGAAAGGCGTTTTCATTTGTTTGACTTCATAAATGGGGCTACAGACATCTGAGAAGATGAGAAAAGATTTTCATGTTTTGTTATATGAAAAATGCTCAGGAAATTTCCATGAATGTTTAATTCTGGTGAAGGTGTTAATTTTAAAATATTGTAACAAAGCCATTTATCTTCCTAGAAATCAATTAAAAGTTAATTAAAACTTTTAATAAGAAAAATTTCACTGTGTTTTCCTCCTGCACTACATCAATGCACTAAGCAGTAATGGCTATAACTTCATAATGACCCGTCAATGGAGAACACATCCTTTGAATCGACATCTTTCCATGAATGGTTGATTTACTTAAGCTTAGAATCAAATCTATTTCCTGATAGATGATATACAGGAAAACCATCAGAAAGCGAATGGAGGAAGAAAGTTTCAAGAATACAGTAACAAACTGTTAGCCCACTGAAAGACAACCAAAGTACAGGAAATGAAGAAGTCTGCTTCTGGGTAAGACACAAACCCTCAGCTTCAAAACCTTACCTCCAATACATGCATGAGGTCAGTACTCATATTTAGGCTCTAAATTAAGCCAAGATCATTTAACAGCAATTAAATTGATGCTAACTGACCAGGAGCAAACAGATTTTAAAATAAAAACTGAATACACACACTAAACAAAGTTAATCCTTAACACTGCTATCACTGGAAATCATGAAATTAGACCAGGCAATTTTTTATTTTTATTACTAACATTAACACACTTAAGTACAGTTTAAAATAGAGAAACATGTAAAAAGACTTCTGTAATAACAGCACACTTTGCAACTTGGCTCCAAAAACATGACTACTTACGTTTAAACTCATTTGTGCACATCCTTGGGCATTAACATATTTTTCACATTCTGCAGGACTGATTTGTTTCCCTATATATTATCAAATCCAGTTAAGTTAGCTATGGGATGACTTTTTCTAAAACAACGCCATCTGAAGGGTATAAGAAAGGAGCTCCTCCTTCCAGTGAAAATCATCTCCTGGAGCCTCCCAAAGCCTGTGGGCATGAGCTCCGTGAAGTCTTTGAAGGAATTGCAGGTGGCACTGTGCTGCCTGTTCCTGCTTGCAGTTGCAGCTTTATATCGAGACGGATGAGTTGAATCATCCATATTTCATAACCATGCTCGACACTACCACGGAGAAGCTCTGTTGCCAGTGGGTTCCAGGTGACACACAGCTGGGCTTTCAGAAAGTCCTGCTTTAAACATCAGCCCTGCTTGAACTTATGTTCTTGAACTTATGTTCAAGCAGGGCTGATGTTTAAAGCTCACTTTAACTAGGTAAGGTCCAGTAGGAGTCATAAAAATACAAGGCAAACACTAAACATAAAACTGGTCAGATTTCTTTCTATTCCCCATCGTACAGTATCCTTCTCACCCTAGCCTCCAAACCCCAACATACCTAAACTCATGGTGTAAAAAGCAATCTTACATTATGAGAACAGGGTACGTGTGGAACACATCCTTCTCCCCCAGGTCTGTCCAAGGAATATCACTCCTCACCACAGCAGAATGTCAAGAGCAGACAACCAAATAAAGAACCTATTCACTCCTGCCTTGTTTCACCCAGAGCTGGGTGACAAGCAAGAGAGAGCCTGAAGTACTCTCAGCTGCCACATGAATGCTCTGGTAGCACTCGAGTTCCCACCCCAAAATCTACCGACAGAGTCTGCTGTTTGATCCCTTGCAACCACATGCAAGACAGGCCTGGTAAATTTAGACAGGAAACAAAGCTTATTCTGCTATTCTGGGTAAAAGAAATATTGAAAAAAAAAAAAAAAAAAAAAAAAGAAAAATCGTCCCTTTATATGCTCACGGGTTTTCCCCCTGGTCTTATTCCAAGTGGTTCAACTAGCTGGTAGGCAAACGTACCATGCTAGTGTTACCCAACAGAAGAGTTTAGGAATTCACTTAAGTCGCTGTGGCCTGACCAGAAGGGATTTTGTTGGGATAGAGGAGTCTCCTTTACAAAGGTCCAAGGCAATTTGTTTTTGTGAGAGCACCTGCCGAAGTATAAAATACTTAGAAAAAAAGAAAATAAACAGAGCTTACTGGCTCCTCTTGCCAATGCCTGTGACAAGAGATGCAGGAAGATGAGACAAATTTCAATCTCTATCTCTTTATGTTCATTTAGAGACAGGGAAAGCATGCTCCTTGGAAGAGCCTCTAGTAACTACTGCTGCTGTTTTCAGATCCACAGGACTACTCCATTTCCATCTTTCACAGGACTACCTTATAAAGTACTGCATAGTAAAACAATCCTATAAACCCAGGAGTATAAAAGAATCGTTACTTTATTTCCCAGAAAATATATCCAATGTTTACTGGAGACAACACAATCTACAAGATGATAGCCTTTACCTGCTGTGGTAAGTCTGTATTGGCATTACCAACCATGCTTCAATATTACTGAGACAACCTCATGAGTATGAACCAATACTGTTCCACAGGGTAACAAATTATCTTCCTCCATTACAGCTTGAAAATACCATACAAAATACAAGCTGTTGAAAAACAGCTTGAAAAATACAATTCTGGGAGATCTGAATTACCAGAATATCTCTTAAAGGATCATTAACTCTGAAATATAATGACAAATGCTTAAATGGTGATATTAATTATATCATTATCATTCTCTTCAAAAGAAACCTCCTACTAATATCCACAACTCTTGCTCACAACAGGTAGCAATGGGATTTAAGCAGGTTAATTAAGGATTTACACTTGAACTGCTGGATCTGGAAAACCGCAAAATAAGGCAGAGTTGTTATTCATATTTGTCTGTATAGTTGAGGCAAACATGACAGGTATCCCCTCATTCACGCTGAAAGCTGAAATACTTCTTTGGGACCACTCTTCTGCCAATCCCACCTCCCCCAAATTAAATCTTCCTGCAGGTCTTCTTCAGGGACATAAGTTCCCCATCATCCCTACCCATCCCAACAAAACCTCTGGCTGGCAGCCAGTATTCCAGCAAATACCGCAGCTCCAGGGAGGAATAGAAATTGTGCTGGAGGATACAAAGGGTGCTGTCAGTGGGAGTTGTGCTATTGTTCTCATGGAAGATAATAGGATTTTTTTATTATTAGGGGTTTAGCAGATTCCCAAACCCTTCGATTGTGTCAAATAGCAAATCAAGTGTTGGTGGGAGTGCTAAATTGGATTTTGTAAATGTTTTTCAGAGAGATTACTGTTTGTGTTCATAGGACAAAATTAACATCTTCCAGATGCAGTAAGAGGCCACAACAATTTGAAACATTTCTGGCTTGGTATTAATTTAAAAATATCTTAAGTAGGGAAAATTAGTCATTCCAGAAAGCTTGGCATTTTTCTTCCTTGCAATTCAGAAGACTTTTCCTCTTTAATTTCTTTTTGCCTGCTTTTACACATTCTTTCATTTTCCTATTTCATTCATTAAGTGCTCTAAGGAAATGAAAAGATTAGAAAGTACCAACAGTTTTGAAAGATTTCTGTCAGCTGAACTCAAGATAACATCAAAAGAAGTAACAAAACAGAGAAATACTTTTGTCTTCCCAGTGTTGTTAGTATTTTCTCACATATTCCTCTCACGCTTCAGGCAATTAAATTAATAAATCAGGCTCCTAAACATACATGCTATCACTGTATGCCCATTACAGATAGCTGTCATGTTCCCTGGCAGACCAAAAACCTACATGAGTTTATTTCTGTGGAGCTTTCTACAAAATTGATGTTTAAATTGCTCTATTCCTATAAATCAGATTTATTTATTTTTTAAACAGACTTGCAGGATTGGAAGACCGCTGGTTTTGTACAAGTTTTAGATAAGAAATGATGTAATGCCTTCACTCTGTGTTCATGCTCAAATGTATACATAGAGCTCTAACTTACTTGATTTTGCTATGTTACTCCTGATATGCCACAAAACTTAATATTAGACCACAAAACAACACAGATGCTTAGTTACAATGTGTGACAAATCTTAAATGTTCTGAA